AGGGGTGTCTCTGCTTGGAACCCGCGATCCGAGGCCGGCTCGGCCTTCCCCCTGCAAACGCCCGGGGCTCACGAGTGTGCAAAGCCGTCGTCATCATCAGTCCCACGCCCCTTCCCGCCCCGGGCGTGTGTGAGCACACCGCCAGCAAAGCCGATCGCTAGGGGTGCAGCCAATATTTTCTCAGACGGGCCCCATCCCCGAGACGCGGGGCACAGGTGTGACATCGAGGGACAGTGAGTCACGGCTTGGCTGCACTCCCTGCACAGCCAGCGTGAGTCAGGCCGGAAGCTAAAGCTCTGGACATCCCAGCAGGGGACGGGCCCTCTCGGCTCACAAGCCAGTGTTTGGAGTAAACAGCCCGGATCACCCAGGAGCTCCTCGGACTTATTAAACTGCAAATGCCTACCGGGACGGTGGCTCCCGCCTGTCATCCCAGCAGCGTGGAAGGCCGAGGCGGGAGGACTGCTGGAGTCCAGGAGTTCGAGACCCGCCTGGGCAACAGAGCCAGACCCCCCATTTCTGCAAAAAAGAACAATAAAAATAAATTAGCCAGGTGCGATGGCGCACACCTGCAGTCCCAGCCACTCGGGAGGCCGAGGCAGGAGGATGGCTTGAGCCCAGCAGTTGGAGGCTGCAGTGAGCTATGATGACGCCACGGCACTCCAGCCTGGGCGACGGAGCAAGACGCTTTCTCAACAAATAAATGAGTTGCAGACGTCCAACGTATTTCATGCCGGGCCGGTGACGTGGAGGGAGGATTCCTCCCCAGAGCTGGGGAGGGAGCTCACTCCGGGGTTCTCTGCAAATGCAAACCGCAGCTCTGCCTATGAGTACACAGCGGCTCTCGCCCAAGAAAACCTGGCGATGCCTAGAGACGTTTTTGGTTGCCGTGACTCGGGCAGGAGGGTGCCCGCAGCATCCAGCGGGTGCAGCGAGCCTGGAATCGGAAGGCAGACCCGCGGCTGTCTGAGCACGGGCGGGTGGGAGGGGAGGAGGGAGGGGAGGACAGATCTTCTCGGGAAATGAAAATGTTCTAAAGGTGGATCAAGGTGATGTTTGCAAAACTTGGTACATTTTACGGTGTGTAAATGACATCTCAATAAGTAGGTAAAAGCAAAATAGGACAAAACAGAAAATGGAGTCAAACAAACAAAAAAAATCTGACAAAAAAAAAAAAAAGAAAAGAAATCAATTAGTCGGGTGTGGTCCACATGTACCTGCAGTCTCAACAGTTTGAGAGGCTGAGGCAGGAGGATCACTGGAGGCCAAGAGTTCGAGATCAGCCTGGGCAACAAAGCAAGATCCCGTCTCTACGAAATATTAAAAAATGAGCCGGGCATCGTGGCGCGCACCTGTAGTCCCAGCTACTCGGGAGGCTGAGGCAGGAGGATCTCTTGACCCCAGGAGTTGGAGGCTGCAGTAAGTTATGATCGTGCCCCTGCACTCCGGCCTGGGCAACACAGCAAGACCCCATCTCTCAAAATAAAAAAAAAAAAAATCACTCCCAAGTCAGTCATCACTAGCAAACCTTTCCGACCAGGTGCTTGACATGTTCCCAGGGCTGGTGATGTTCAACCCGCTGACCTACAGGATGTCCTCAGATCCCCCTCCTCCTGAACGGGACCCCTCATCCTTCCAGGCTCCGCTTCACAGGTTTTTCCTACCTGCCCCCCTCCCCCATCCAAATCAAGTCGGAGCTGCGTCATCCTGCCCTGAGCGGCCACACTTCTCCACCGTGGTCCTCAACAGTGAGCAGCTCCGTCTTTCTTTGGCTAGATGTCACCTAACGCTCACCGCCTCCCACCCGCCCGGGAGCTCCCCGAGGGCAGGGACTAGCCCGCTCCGGCTGACGCTCACTCTCCGACATCTGCCCAATAAGAAGGATTCCAGGCCGGTGGCTCACGCCTGTCATCCCAGCACTCTGGGAGGCCGAGGCGGGAGGATCGCTCGAGGTCGGGAGTTCGAAACCAGCCTGAGCAAGAGCGAGACCCCGTCTCTACTATAAATAGAAAGAAATTAATTGGCCAACTAATATATACAGAAAAAATGAGCCGGGCATGGTGGCGCATGCCTGTAGTCCCAGCTACTCGGGAGGCTGAGGCAGGAGGATCGCTTGAGCCCAGGAGTCTGAGGTTGCTGTGAGCCAGGCTGACGCCACGGCACTCTAGCCCAGGCAACACAGTGAGATTGTGTCTCAACAACAACAACAAAAAAAGGTTAGTTTGAGGTTAGGTGAATTTCCCCTCGATAAAAATATTATATACATACATACATACATATACATATAATTAACATGATAACATACATAAAATATTTAAAAATCACACTGTTGACATTTTAATTTTTTTTTTTAAGCCTGCAAGCCGTGGTCTGCCAACCTCTGATTTCAGCAAATAAAAATATTTACAAGGGATGGAGGGTCTCTTCTGGGAAAAGTCGTTCATACGTGGTATAGGCCATTTTCACAAACACGTGACAGGGCAGGTGTCGTCACCCCCCTTTGAGGGACCAGGGACTGAAGTTCAGAGAGAGAACGCTGCCCACTCAAGGCCAGCGGGCTCCGGCCGTCAGCCACTCCCCTCACCCGCCTCCCGCGGGATCCCATGAGAAAACACACCCAGCTCCTCGGCACGGGGGCTGGCATACAGTGGGTGCTCAATAAGCATTGCTCCCTCCCTCTCCTCTGTCCCGTGTGTCAACGAGACGGAAACAGCCATGGAGGGGAAGACGAGGGTTTCCGACGGCAGCCCGCCAGCCCCCGGCCAAGCGCAGCCCTGCGCCGTGACTCAGTTGTCCACGGAGCAGCAGACGGAGCCCTTTCCCACCGGCGGCAGCTCCGGGCACGGCAGCGGCTAGGCGGTGGCGCAAGATAAAACTCTCCCTTGCAGGGGCACCCTGCCCGCATCTCTCCGCGTCCGGGAGAGACTCAGAGCCGCCCAGCATGTCTGCCACACGGGCACCCAGGTCTCGCCACGTGCCCAGAGGGGGCTGCGCAAACCTCGTCGGAGACGCCCGGTGGCCGCGCGGGAGGCACCGGCCCAGAGCGCGCACAAGCCGCCTGGGAAGGCCAGCCGCGCAGCCGGGTGTCCTCGCAGGGTGCCCCGGGCTTGCTCCTGGGAGCCGGGCCAAGGGCGCACAATGGCCGTTTGGGCCCAAACGGCTGCTGCGGGGAAAGGCGCTCCAGACGCTAGAGGAAGTGAAAAGAATGGAAGGACACCGGAGATGGCCCGGGCCCGGTAGCAGGAGACCGTCACCTCTGCAGGGGCAGGAGCGAGCCGCTGCACTTCTCTCACTCCCTGCTCTCCGCCGGCACGAGCCCAACGCTTATCTGCGGCCCGAACTAAACTCTCCTGAGCGCTTGAAGACAGCCTGGCAGGCGACGGTGCGTGCAGAGTGGCATGAGTGGCACGCTCGCCGCTGCGCCCGCCCGGGCCGCTGCCGGGCAGACACCGCCGGGCGCGCTCAGACACGGCCGCCGATCGCCGCGCTGCTTCCCCGCGCGGAGCCGGAGCGCGGCCCCAGAACCCGCGCGGCTCCCAGCGGCCGCCACGGGCGGGGTCGAGGAAACGTTCTGCCCCTCGGTCCACACTGGCTATGCTGGGTGGCCAGGGGAGGAAGGGCCTTGGCAGGGGCGAGGACAAGGGAACCACCGCCCCGAGGCATGACGTCCCCAACTGGGACAGGAGGACGGCAGGGCCCCCGGCTGGTCTCTGCCTTGGAGGAACTTACCGGTGACGCTGGGGGAGAAGGGAACATTTTGCTAAGTCAATCTTAGTGTTTGGTGCTCAGTACTAAGTACTGATTTACTTAGCAAAGCTTAGTGTTTAGTACTAAGTACTTAGTGCTTAGTATAAGTGCTGATTTACTTAGCAAAGCTTAGTGTTTAGTGCTAAGTAATTAGTGCTTAGTACTAAGTACTGGTTAACTTAGCAAAGCTTAGTGTTTAGTGCTAAGTACTTAGTGCTCAGTACTAAGTGCTGATTTACTTAGCAAAGCTTAGTGTTTGGTACTAAGTACTTAGTACTGGTTTACTTAGCAAAGCTTAGTGTTTAGTACTAAGTACTTAGTGCTTAGTGCTAAGTGCTGGTTTACTTAGCAAAGTTTAGTGTTTAGTACTAAGTAATTAGTGCTTAGTACTAAGTGCTGATTAACTTAGCAAAGCTTAGTGTTTAGTACTAAGTACTTAGTACTGATTTACTTGGCAAAGCTTAGTGTTTAGTGCTAAGTACTTAGTGCTTAGTGCTAAGTGCTGGTTTACTTAGCAAAGCTTAGTGTTTAGTACTAAGTAATTAGTGCTTAGTACTAAGTGCTGGTTAACTTAGCAAAGCTTAGTGTTTAGTACTAAGTACTTAGTACTGGTTTACTTGGCAAAGCTTAGTGTTTAGTACTAAGTACTTAGTGCTTAGTACTAAGTACTGATTAACTTAGCAAAGCTTAGTGTTTAGTACTAAGTACTTAGTGCTTAGTGCTAAGTGCTGGTTTACTTAGCATTGCTGGGTGCGCCCGCACAAATGGGGGCCAGTCTCACATCCCACCCCGAGGTCCTGGGCGACGCGGGTCTCCCCTCTGTTTGGATTCCGGGGACCCCTGCGAGGCTGAAGCCCATCTCTCCCCTCACCAGGCCCGAGCTCGCGTTCCCCCCGGGAGCCCCCGAAGCCGCCGGCCGGCCCAGTCTGGGATCCGCGGCGCGCGGGCGGAGCGGGCGCGGGGACCCGGCGTCGCGCGCTGTTGTGCCGCGGTGTTGACAGCGTCGCCGCGGAGACGCGGGCGGGCCGGCGGGCGGGCGGCCTGGCTTCGCGCCGGGCGGGCGGCCGCGCACAGCCCCGCCGCCGCACTGGCCGGCGCCGCCGCCGCCGGCTTATATACCGCGGCTAAATTTAGGCTGCGCTCGGAGCTCGTCCCATCCGGGACGCGTTTCCGCCGCCGCCGCCGGGCCCGGCCCCCGCGCGCGCCGCGCCTATAAGGCTGGGGGCGGGCCGCGGCCGCAGAGCCGTCCCGCCCGCCCGCCCGCGCCCCGCTCCGGCGTCCCAGTGCCGGGCGGCCATGGCGCTGAGCGAGCCCATCCTGCCGTCCTTCTCCACTTTCGCAGCCCGTGCCGCGAGCGGGGCCTGCAGGAGGTGAGGGCGGCGGGGCCCGCGGCGGCCGGCTCGGGGAAGCGGAGCGTGGCTGCGGGCGCAGGCGCGCGGGCGGGCACCGCGGGCTCGGAGTGGCGCGGCGCG